CATGTACTGGTAAGGCAGATCATAATAAAATAAAATAAAAAGAAAGTAAACTAAACTCTTCAGATAAAGTGGAAATGGAATTAAAAAAAATTAGTGCTCTTTGTTGAGAGTATTTGTCCCACATTGAAAAGTTAAGGGACCAAGCCTGGGTTTATAAGGAGTTGGGCTACTCCCCCTATTGCCAATTGATTTTGGGGTGGAACCTCAACTTCCTTCACTCTTTGACTATTAGGGTGTGTTTGGCATGGCTCACTAGACTGGACTATGCTAAATAAGCCTTGAAACCAACGTTTGGTAAAATGGGGGACTAAGTTAAAAGGGATTGTGGAGTCCAACAGTAACAAATCCTCCTCACTAGCCCTCCTTATACAGAGATGCCGAAATGCAGTTCGCAAAATAGCGAGCGTGCTATTTTGACGCGCGAGTCCGACCAATCCAATTGCAAGACCAAATCCATATCCAAGCTTTAAGAATCAGTTTCTTCTTCTTTACCTAGAACTATCACCATCATAATCCCAAGTCACACAAACCAACCACCACCGATTCAAACCCATCCACCTGAATCAACCACCACCAAATCAAACCCAGTTGAACCACAACCCAATTGAACCTTCCGAAAAATTATCAACCATCGACCGTGGCTCAGTGAAACCAAATGGAGATTTGTGACTTCGAAGAAGATGAAGATCTGTGACTTCAAAGGGGAATAAGAGACCTTGGCTGCCAAAAGTCATGAGTTTAATCATGGCCTCCATGTCTTTGAAGAAACTCCTGCCTTCCAGCCATTTTAGATGTTGATGCTCAAGGTGCTGCCAGACCTCCCCTTTTCCTATTGAATTGTTTCTATTTCGGGGCGTTTACCCCTCTCTGTACCCCAAAAAAAAAGGGAAGAATAGAAAGAAAATGAGAGGGAAGCAGAGAAAGGTTTGGGAGGGGGATATAGAAAAGGAGGGATACCGTTGTGTCAATATTGGAGAAAAAAAGAGAGAGAACCAGAGAGTGATATCGGGAAGGAGAGAAAAAAGAAACAGGGCTGGGAAAAAAGAAGAAAAGAAAGAAAAAAGATAGTTTTAGTCTTTAAAATACATTTAAAAAAATTTTATTTAATAAATTATACATTTCTCATTAGTTTTTTTGCAGTATTTATTTAGTTTTAGGTCAAAATCCCTAATTAATTTTAAATATTTAAATAATTTTTTTAGTCCAACACAGTACCAAACATAGGTCTTCACTATTTTGATAATCCAGCTTCTTAGTCCGATGCAGCACCAAACGTGGGTCAATATTTAATCCAGCTTAGTCCAATCCGAGCTAATCCAGGACAATCCCAGGATTTAGTCCAGTCCAAGACAGTCCGCCGTACCAAACGAGCCCTTAAAGCATGTCAAAGGGTAAATATCATGAGAGCAAGTCCACCGCAAGGCCTTTTGCCTGGGCAGGATAGGGCCTAGGCTGGTGAACTACTCCAGCGCGTAAGGGCAAGTCTGGACAAGACGTGAGACCCACCAACCCAGCCCATGTTGCTGCTTTGGCAAAGTGACGCAATGCTGACGTCATAACTAATTTAAATTACAAAAAAATTGAAAAAAAAACCTAAAAAATTCAGAATTTTTTATTATTGTAAATATCTAGCCATATTATTTACTTCCCACACCAAAATTCTATACAAATTCATCTCCTTATATCTCATGTGAATAGTAATTGCCATTGCCCTTGCCCGTAAGGGTAGAAACAAAATTGCAAGGGCTGCCACTATTCACATGAGTAGTGACAGCCCTTGCCTTGCCATTGCCCATAGGGGTGGAAGTGCTCTAATAGCCTAATAGTATAAATGGGAAAAAAGCATTTGGAAAAAAACAAAATTAAGTGTAAAAGAAATGGAGAGAAATCAATGGAGAATACTCAAGATAATAATAATATTGGGATGTATTGTAGTACAAGCAGAAGCCACTCTCTCTCCCTCTCTTTCTCCTTCACTCCTCTCTCATGATAGTCTTTCACTCCGTGAATTAATTTCCTTATTTGATCACTTAGGAAAGCATCGACGGGAATATTTGGGTTGTCTATTTAATGCTACTGAAGAGTGTGCAATCCATCAAGATTTAAAGAAATGTGTAGAAAATCATTCTGCATATTGTGCTAAAAAGCACTATTTATGAAGGGAAAAAAAAACACTTGAGATTCGGTATGAATAATGTTATTGTTGTTTTCCAGATGATAATGCAGAGTACGTATGCATGGGTGACGACGGGTACTAGACAGGGCTAGAGTCCGCCATAGATGTTTCATTTTTTTTGAAGTTGTTCCTTGTGAGAATTATTCTTCTAAGACCTAGTTATTTGACATTTATATCTTTAAATAATGTTATGTGGGATTGTTTTTTTAATTCCTCCGCACCCTCATTCATGGAAATGTTACTTATTTTGATGAATTTTATCTAAGGCAGTGTGTATTTAATACATGCGTAATTTTGAGACGAATAATTTCAGGAGAAAAAGAAAAGGACAATGCAAGGGTGCACATCCTTGTCCACCCGGTTTTTATTTTATTTTATTTTATTTTATTTATTTTTATAATATTAAAAAAAAACAATTTTCAAGAATTAATTTCTTATTTTACCAATATAAGAGAGAAAAAGAAACTCTATGAGCTTTCTGTGTTGTTTTATCTCATAATTCCAGAAACTTGGTTGAATTTGCTATGTGTTCAAAGTCTCTTTAGGGGAGTCATGCTAGTTAATGGTTGATTTTGTCATTGATGCAATTGGACTAGATTCGGGGAAACTATGGTGGTAAAGGGGTCATAGAAAATTTATTTTTGAGAGTGATTCTCTCCAGATCGTTTCAGCTCTTCGACTATCTTAGGTCACTGTGGAAGTTTTACCCATGTCCACCATACTACTATTGGGATGATTCACTTTACAGTCTTTGTCCTTTGTATAAATTTCTATCACCTTTTTCTCAAAATCACAATGTCAAGATCATTTATGTGAATAAATAAATCAAATTAGAGATCGTGTAATCATTTATATATATATATATATATATGTATCATATAAATAGATAGTTCATCATAAAGACCTTAATTGTTACCAAAATTGTTGAGTTAATCGATACATATGGATTACTAAATTATCTCAAATTTGATTGAAATTTTTTTTTTTCTGAATATAATCTTTGTATATTGTGATCTAAGAAATGAACACTTCCAATTATAGCATGCTTAACATGGTGTGCACCCCCTGGAGACTATTAAGCTATGTTCAAAAGAAAGATCGTTATAACTAATAATTATAGAAGTGTACTTAGCCAAAATCCTAGAATGAGTTTGAGTGTTTTGGGGCAGCATAACCTGAACTTGTTAAATAATAATGCTCAAACCCGAGATTAAAAGTCTTCAAACTGAGTTTGTCCAATATTAAGACACTTAAAACTGTGAATCGTTAAAACATTTTAGTAGTGTGTGTGGGAAACTCTCTTCTTCTTGTAGTTTAAACTATCGCTTACTTAAAAAAAAAAAATTATCGTCACTTATTCATCATTTGACAACGTCATGCATGTCCCTCAAGCTCTCAAAAGTGTCATACCATTTGTTGATATGGAGAATATGGTTGGTTAGTCCTTTGGAAGCTTCCACAGGTATTATATTTCAAAATTTCAAGGTGGTGTGTATTGTGCAAGGGGTCCCACTAGCACTATATATGATGTAATTTTTTGACCAATATTTTTGTGCTTTATCCCAAAAATAATGACGGTACCGTATATGTTAGACTTTTAACTTGCATCTGGCTGGACACAATCTCATAGCACTTGTGTGTGCCTACGTTTTGAGAGAATTAACTAGTAATTAAAGAAGTGTTTCTAGTCGGTATAAAATTATCATGCAGAAATTATAGAATATTACGGTAAATTTTCTTGTTAAAATCAAACCGAGAGACAGTTCATCAGAAAACAGTGAAAAGATTGTGAGCAAATTGAACAAGTAAAAGGGTAGAACAAAGACATAGGCTACCCGCAAGCATTAATTGGAGGGACCATAAGTAATGAAACTTTTCTTAGGAAATCTATCAACTACAAATATTTATTAAGGCTTCAAGGGTCAAGGTCCCAGAACGATGGCTTTGCCCTCTGCCCCCTTCTCTCTGCCCGCTGTCCCCTGCCCCCTAGGTGCTTGGTACCCACCTTTTCTTCTTCTTCTTCTTCTTCTTGCCGTTTATTTTATGATGAGGAATATTGACTTTTGAAGAGAAACCAAGAATTTTTCATTTTCATTTTTATAACTAGTGCATGAAAAGTAACCTAACCCCATCAAAAATTTGATTCCAAATTATATATTACAAACTTAAGTTCTATTCGACCAAAAAACTTAAAAGTTGTCTCGCTTATGATATTTAGAGTCAATTGTTTTATTTATTTATTTTAAACCTTTGAATAAAAGATAAGTATATGACTTTTAGAATGATAATAAAGGAAGAGTTTTCTGTTGTCATTAAAAACGAAAGGGCTTACGAGTGAAATATAACACTTGGTTGAACTCTTCCACCTTCACTTAAGTGGGCAGAAGTTCGAAACCCTTAGACACCCGATGAATATTTCTGTAAACCCCAATCCGCCAATCGCTTCCACTAAAAAAAATATATAGTTTCTACTACCAGGTATCAAGGTGAATCTTAGTACCATGATCTTATCCAAATTCAAAATATAATAAACCCAGTTGTGAAAAAACTAGCAAATTAAAAAGAAAAATAATATTATGACAGAGAGAGCTGTGAGCAAGTGCACCTGAAGAAATATCATATCTTAAACCTTAAAGTTTCAACATAGCATTATTAGCTAGGAAAAATGATAAGTTAGGATCATATATTATATTCATTGCATATGATATGATAGTGATATTTATTTTATGTATACAAAATATTTGAGAAAATTCAGAGAAATTGAGTTTTAGTGAAAAACAAAACCACAAACCTCCAAAATACCCCCTCCCCCTCCCCCTCCCCCTTCAAATTCATTGACTTTTACTCATTTGCCCATCACTTCCGATATTTCAAAATCATCTCCTCTGGCCATTTTCTCATCCTTCATCCCTCTCTCTCTCTCTCTCTCTCTGTGTCTCTCTGGGGTATGCATATATACAATAACATTTACATATAAAAGCGTCAAACGCACCGTATCAAGCAGAGATCATGACCATGGACCGACCGCAACCGAGCTCAGACTCCCCGACCCGAGAGCCCAAATCCCCTGTGGTGCTGTCCATCGAATGCCTCAAAGGCAGCTCCAAAGCCGACGAGTGGACTGGAGACATGCTCCAGACCGGAGACATCGTCGAGGAGCTCCGCATCGGCAGCTCCGTCACCGTCAAGTCGCCGTTTAAGAACGGAAAGAGCGGCGTCCAGAAGATCCTCCACGCCTCCTTTAAAGCCAAGGACACTTCTATCCTCGTCAAAGTCCGACGCGGTCGAGACGAGTTCGCGGAGTTGCAGGCGTGCATCGTCCCGAACGACTCTGCCGGTCGGGGCAAGCAGTACATGCTCAGGTCCATTGCCGACCCCAATTATACCGTCGGCTTCTGCGATCGCACGGAGGCCGACTGCTTCGAGCTCCAAGGTACCATTACCCATCATCACATTGACTTTTGCGTTGACTAACTATTACTTTGCTTTTTCCTTTTTTGCAATTCATGTGAAAAACAATTATACTAGGCAAAGGTAATTTTTGATCAAGGTAGTGTGTCGGTTTTACCACTCTGATCCCGTAGTTTTAATTTTGTAAATTTTGTTAATGTAGATTTAAAATCCCTCATAATTCAATGATATGTTGTAAATTTTGTCAAATTTCTTCTAATTCTGTCCAAAATTTCTTTCTAAAACAACCTTCTATATCATGCTTATTACATAAGAGAATTGTACAGAAATTTAAATGTGTCGTTGAATTGCGAGCAATAACAAAGCCGAATAGTGACATTTTGGCTTGATATATATTTTGTTATTGCTGTGGTGGTAATTATCTATTTATTAATTGGGCCACTTGGTGATATTTTTTTGGGCATGCGTTTCGTTGTATGAAAGCAAAACCACCTTTAGGCAGCACACAACAACTTCTCCACGTGGAGACTCGTGACTTTTATCTTCGTAGAAAATGTGAAACTGACATGACCTAATTTGGTGATACACACACACACACACAGCTTTTGATTCATTCACTTGTCCCAACTTCCATACACATCATTACACTAGTTTGGATATTGGACTCTAATGTTGTACATGTGCATTACATTCCCACTTGGAAGAGATGAATATGATGTGATGATGGTGATATGAGTAAATTATGTCCCATCAATTAATAGTTCAATTCAACTTTTATTGTTTAATTAAATAATATTAGTACTGTTCCATGATCACTTTTTTAAAAAAAAAAGAAAAAAAAAAGTATGAAATAGATGATGGTGATGATGATGAGTTGAATGCATGTATGGTGCATGTGTGTGTTGATAAATGTGCAGCTTCCAGGAACTCGAGGATGGTGAGTGCACTGACAAGAGGTAGGCTTCAAGATGGGTATGTCTCATATCCATGGGAAAGGAGAATGCAGGAGATGCTAGCAGTTCCCCATTCTAGTGGCTTTCTATCTGTCCTCTTCCTTCCAAAGGCTTCAGATCGATCTGCTTCTCGCTACAACGACTTGGAGGACACCCTTGCTAGGGCTAATGTCTGGCTCATTGCCTCCCAGGCCTCCGGCGTCCCCGTCGTCTTCATGAACATCCAGACTGAGTCCCTCCTTACAAAGGTATATATTTTAATGAAGATCTTTGATTATGTGGCACAAGTAGGGCTGTTTTAACTTTTATATGTGTGTTTTTGGTTTTGTTGCATTGCATTTATGGCAGATTTCTGGAGAGACAGCTTCTTCCACTGTAAATGCAGGGTCATTATCTGACTTAGCTGATCTTGCAAGCGCAAGCTTATATGGTTTTGAAGATTACCATGGGGTTGACATTGGTGTAGTCCGAGCCGTTCGACTTTGGTATGCTCCTCTTGGGGGTGAAATCCCTATGGAGATCAAATTACAAGAAGGTGATTTTAAGCTTGGCTTCGCCATTAGCCGCACAGAAGAGGTAAACATATATGTACATTAATTAACTTTCTCGCGGCTTGGCTTGATCATATTATGTGATAGTTGATGTATCTGTTTAGTTTAATTACAACAATTGCGTGTAACAAGTGAATCCTATCTGCCAAATAATATGATCCGACCAATTAATGTGGTAAAAAATGTGATTCCTTTATCATTATAAATCGTACCTTGTCATTGGCAGGGGTTTATATACATTTCATCAGTCGTAGATGGTGACGAAAACACACCTTCAAGCCGATCGGGGCTGAGCAATTTGTACAAGGAAGCAATGGAGGCATCAAGGCTGCTGGTGGTCTCAAGGGTCTCAAACCAGAAGGTGCTCCCTTGGATGGTTTCTTCAACCGGAGCAGTTCGATGCTTTGACACCATTTCGCTCAGCCAGAAGCTCTCCCTCCACCGGCATGCCAAGGTTCCTATTTCCATGCATGTCTTCATGTGGGATCGAGCCGTTGTTTCTCCAAGTGCAGGCCAAACCAGGTTCAGGAGCACCGCCTCTCCCCCGCCAGTCATCCCATTGCCGCCTGAGGTTCAATTGGCTAGACAACCAAATGAGAACCAAATACAACCTCTTCCACAAGAAGTGTTTGATGATGAAAGTAGCAGTGAAGGTGTCTCCCAGAGATTATCAGAGGTCAGGCTTGAGAGAGATACAGCTGGAGAATCCTCTTTTAGGTTCCATGATTTTGCACTTTCTAGCAATTGGGTATGAATTTTTTTTTCGCTCTTCATTTTGTGATGTGATGTGCTTGTTCTCCTTCTCTTCGATTGTTGTTAACTTTGTTATGCATAGAGGCCTTGCAAATAGGCACCCTTTAGCTCAATTTAGAGAATAGAAATATACATATTATAGAACAATATCACACAGCAGGATTTCTAAATCATGTATAGCTAGAGAAATGTAAGTCATAATATTCTGATCTGGGTGTGTATACATTTATGAACTCTGTGAAAGCAAGTGGAGATTTTTTTTCAATGTGACCGTAACATCATCAACATAATATGTTGTTAATATGTTAATATTATAACGTGTCTTTTAAATATATTTTCTTTTGATTTAGAGCCCATTGTGAACCTTAATAAAAATCAATTGCAACAAATCTCCATTGTATAGGGTTTGATAATAATCGAGATTGTAGATGCATAATTTATTATTATTTTTTCTTTTTAATTTTTCTAGGCCAATTAATTGGAAGAAATTTGAAGGGGCTGTTTTAAGAGTAGAATGGCCTGCTGTTGATATTGAAGGCACTAAGCCCAAAAACAAACAGCCCATTCTTTAACCATCTTTGAAAAAAGGTAAAGCACGCTCCCATTGGCTGGTTCGTAGTGCTACGGATCGAGGAACCACGGCCCTCGATTTTAAGACTTATCAACGGCTCAGATTCTCCCGCCTCTCCTCCTCCAAAATTTTTCACTGGAAACACAAAATTTCGAAGTTCCCGCGATTCCTCTCCCCAAATCAGCAATTAAATACCCCCAAAGCTTCCACCATTTCCATCGCATCTAAATCAGGTTTCTCCAATTTTCCCGAGAAACAAACACAGTCAATCAAAATCCTTCAGACCTTCGATTTCGTTTTTTCTCAATGGCTCGTACCAAGCAGACTGCTCGTAAGTCCACCGGAGGGAAGGCCCCTCGCAAGCAGCTGGCAACAAAGGCTGCTCGAAAGTCGGCTCCCGCTACCGGAGGAGTGAAGAAGCCTCATCGTTTCAGGCCAGGGACTGTGGCGCTGAGAGAGATCAGGAAGTACCAGAAGAGCACTGAGCTCTTGATCCGCAAGCTTCCGTTCCAGAGGCTTGTGAGAGAGATTGCTCAGGACTTCAAGACCGATCTCCGGTTCCAGAGCAGCGCCGTGGCGGCGCTGCAAGAGGCGGCGGAGGCCTACTTGGTAGGTCTCTTTGAGGACACCAACCTCTGCGCCATTCATGCCAAGAGGGTCACCATTATGCCCAAGGACATCCAGCTTGCTCGTAGAATTAGGGGGGAGAGGGCTTAGAAACCCGAAATCTAGGGTTTTGGAATTAACAGTATGTAGTAGGTTCTTCATGCTTTTTGATGGGATTTGGAAGTGGGTATGTAAAGTTTGAATCTTGAAGGTTGAATGGTAAATCTTTACTTGCTAATTGGATTCCATGCTTAATTGACTAGTTTATATTTGAAGACTGAATTGGTTTTGTTGAAATATTCAACCTTCTTCTAGACATGAGTTATTTTAATATTTCAAAATAAATGTCCAACACGTGCTTGGACTTTTGGCACTGCAAGATGTAATCTTTTGCTTGATCTTAGCTTCAGCCTTGTTTAAATGGCTTGCCCTGATTGAACCATTTTGGTTTTCAATCCATTCGAGTTTTTTTTATGTTGATTTGAATCAAGTGAAAATGCAGAAATTTATTGCAATTTCAGTAAGTGTATGTATTTACCTGAAAATTAATGACAATGAATGAACACAAAGGAATGTACCTGAAAACACTGAGACTGCCTGCCTCACCAAGTTGATGGTTTTGAGTCTTTTGATGCTCTAACATGCATACAATACAAGCACTTACTGTATTGAACTTGTAAATGAGGATGGGTCTGGGGGAATTGATACTTCCATGGTTCCTTCGAGCATCATCGTCAGTTTTTTTGACGTGGGTCGCAGTGACGGATCCTCCTGAATGCACCACATTGCGATCATCACATACTTCTCCAACTTTTTGATGTCTTCCATTGCCTCATCATCATTCTGTAATAGCAGATGCACTTTCTTTTGCTCATAGCAATCGTATGCCCAGTCAGCTAGAACCATTTGATCTTCATCCTCTGCCTCTTCTTCAAAATTCCTCCTGCAGCAAATAATCTCCAGCAACATAATGCCATAGCTGTAAACATCTACCTTCCCTGTGATTGGCATGTTTTTAAACCATTCAGGGGCCAGATAGCCTCTAGTTCCCCTCATTCTGGTTGTAGTGTGAGTCTGGTCCATTTTCAAAAGCTTGGCCAATCCAAAGTCCGAAATTCTTGCAGTGAAAGAGTTGTCTAGAAGAATGTTTTGAGGCTTAATGTCACAATGTATGATTTGGCTGCTGCACTCCTCATGCAAATACAAGAGCCCTCTCGCAATTCCTAAGGCAATTTCCCTTCTTTGATACCAGTTTGGCCTTGACTCTCCAAAGAGGAAGCCAGCTAGAGAGCCGTTGCTCATAAACTCATATACAAGCATTCGGTGCTCCCCTTCGTTGCAGTATCCTAGTAGCTGGACTAAATTTCTGTGGTTTGTTTTGCTAATTGCGCTCATTTCAGCTTTGAATTCCCACTCACTTTCTTTAACCATACTGTCTAATCTTTTGACAGCAACACATTTCCCCTTATCAGCCCCTAAAACTCCTTTGAAAACTGTTGCAAAGCCACCATGGCCTAGTTGTTCCTTGAATCCATTGGTAGCTTCTTCTAGCTCTTCATAAGCGAAATATTTCAAGTTCATGACGAGATAAGGTTGACTCACCTTTGCTTTTCTGTAATAGATGCGTGAAACAACCAAATAGATTGTTAGCAGTAAAAGGAAGTTTAGAAACCCTGAGCTACCCAGGAGCACCGATCCGACTACGATCAGAGTTGAATTGTCTTTTTTTTTCGAATATCCGCCACCAGGTCCCATGGCTGAATTTTCCTTCCTTATTTTGACTAGACCTGTTACACCGTTAATGGGGTCGACCCTCCCATTCAAAAGGGGGCTTCCCTTCAGCCAACACTGGCTATTTCTGAAATTGGCAACAGCACAGAAACAATCAGCTAGGCAAGCCTGCCTGCACCAATCCTCAGTTACAACTTCAAACTTCTCATATTCAGACTTAGGCCAATCTGTGTTTTGCATCTCTTGGAAATAAAAATGATCTGTCTCTGGTGAGGCAGCATCACAACTTTGTGAAATGAAGTTCTTTTTGCATCCTTTCAACACATCATCTAGATTAATGAAGCTATAACCAGGTGGGCACTGGCAAATTGTTCCCTGGTCATGTCTACATATACTGTTGTAACCACATGCACCGCCGCCTTTCTCTTGCAAAATTGTCATGCAGATATTTGGAGGAATGAAGGACAAACTGGTCCAAGCCTTGAGCCACCCTGCAGCACTTGAGCCAGTGCTTGTAGGATAGACATAGTGCCTGAAAACTCCATCATAGTCAAGAGTTGCTCTCTGGTAAAGATCTTGGGTTGAAACTGTGCTGTTTGATATCATATGAAGTATGCTTCTGTTCCTGGCAGTAAGGTAAATAGAGCCAGACTGGTTGAAGATGACCTGATAACCACTACCCGTAGTGTCGGTTGACCAATAGATAGTATTAGCAGAATCCAATGGGAAGTGTGTTGTGTAAAGCAAGAGGTCTCCATCCGGTTGTAGTGCAAAATGGAATCTTCCTTTTGAGTAATTTGTTGCCGTGTAGCGGGCTAAGAGTGTGCTGGTTTGATTTAGAGTCTGAAAAGGTAGGATTGTATCAGTTGGTTGATCAAAACTCTCCCACAAATTGATTGAACTTGGGTTAGCCAGCACAAAATTTCCAGTGTCAAGCATGGCTGCATAGGAAACTCCGGTACTAGCAGAATCAGCAACCCATATTTGTTTGCCTGTTGCAGCATCATTGAGCCTAAACTGTCCATCTGCAGTGAGTTCAACTTTGGATCCTTTTGCCACTAGATTATTACCATTGGCTGACCACACAATAGTTCTTTCTGGTATTTTGTTAAACCAGATGGCAAGTAAGAAGCCATTTCTACCAATTTCTTGGAAACCGAAAGCAAACTCCCCAGATGGTGAGGCCCAAAAAGCGCTATTGTCTAGTGCAGTGAGGGATGAACCCAAAGGTATGTTCTTGTTAGTTTGAGCAGTGGTGGGAAATGGCAGGTGTAGAAGGAGAAGCAGAAAGCAGAAAGCATATGCTAGTTCAAAAGCCATTATAGTCAGAGGGATATTTCTCTACGGACAATTCATTTGCACTATATATGAGTCACAATCCATTGGAAGCTTTTATTTACAACTGCAGCTTCTTATTTCTGCTATTATTCAATTCAAGCAGGTGTTGACCAAGAATTTTCCATGTCTTATTTCTGCTAAAATGAAAGGAAGTCAATGCTTTCCTGCATTAAATATAAAACATTCTCTAGCTTGGCATCTGGACATTATGTTCAGGAGCAAACCTTCAGAATTTCTATCATTTAAATCAGTTTTCTCTTGGCTTTCCCAAGAAACAAACACAGCAGACACCCTTCAAACCCGCAACGCGTGTCCTTTTTGGTGCTTAATATATACACACATCTTTATTGGATGCACCAAAAAATTGGTTTGTTCGATATGTTGACAATCTCGTTTATAGAAACATAGCACTCTGTAAACATGGAGGTCAAGGAATTAAATATGGAAGTAGATGGTGTTTTGGTTGAACTGTCTTAGAAAATAAACAGTTGGTGTAGACGTGGTCATTTGACATTTTTGGATCATTTCACAAGTCTTTTTCAGTGGTTTAAAAGCATAATCCTTATCTCCATAAAATGTAATTTGCCACTTTTTTCTTGTCTGACGCCTATAATCATGTTCTAAGTTGTATTTTAAAATATTTTTAAGATGTCTAACAAAAAATCCTGTCTTTAGTTTAAGAGGCCACTAAATAGTGACAGGTATATACAGTGAGAAAAATGCTCGACTCCAAGAAGGAAATGGTCCAGTCCTTACCTTGAGGCTTTTAAAAAAACGTGGGATTTTTTGTGCAAATCCTATGCAATCAATTGTTTTTTATTACTAAATATATGCCCATACTGAAACAGAAGAAACCGCCTCTGGCTTAGAGAATTCTTCTGGACATCCACCATGAAGTTGGACCTTGACAATAAGTCTCAAAAATGGAAGTCTTCCAAGTTGTAATTTGTGTTTGTTCCTTGATGCTAGAAAGAAAAGAAGATAGCTTTTTGTTTGGGTTATTATTATTATTATTATTATTTTTTCAAGCAACTTGTTTTCTTGGGCATCATCATGGTGGTGATTGTAAAGGTGTGGAAGTGTGAATTATTATGCTTGGATATTGAAAAAGTTTTGATGTCATTTACATAAATATATTACAATGTCAATTAGTAACAGAATTCCATAGCTGTAAGCATCCAAATTCACTGTGGGACAGTTTTTGAACTATTCAGGGGCCACAAAGCTCTCCCATGGTTCTAGTTCAAAAGGCAGTTTTCCTCTTAGGTACTAGTTTGGTCTTGATTCTTCAAAGACAAAGCGTGCTAAAGCGGCATCGCTCTTAACTCATACCGAATGATGCCCCTCATTGCAGACATTTAATAATTGAAGTCTAGTACATTCTTTTCAATAAAATTTGATTTAGCAGTAGTTGGATTGGCAGTTTTTAGTTTACCTACGTTAGTTGAGCTTAGATTCTGTTGGGACACAAATATCTAGTGACTGCAGTATACTTGTTCTATGTT